TATTGATATGCAATGGAGTGATGGTGTGAGGAAAACACCCTAGATCCACATGAAAAGCAAATATCCCTCCCCTGGCTCATTGTTTTTGGAGTGCCATGGGAAACAATTCACTGTGATTAGAATCTAAACATGTCTACCAAATTGAAAGATCCTCCCTCTTCAATATCCCTCTCCTACCCAAGCAGTGGGACGTGGGTGGCGCTGTGGTCTAAACCACTGAGCCTCTTGGGCTTACTGGTCAGAAGGTCGGTGGTTCTCATCCCCGCAACGGTGTGAGCTCCCATTCCTCTGTCCCAGCTCCTGCCAACCCAGCAGTTCAAAAGCATGCCAGTGCAAGTAGATAAATAGGGAAGGTAAACGGCGTTTCCGTGTGCTCTGGTTTCTGCCACGGTGTTCCGTTGCACCAGAAGCGATTTAGTCATGTTTGCCACATGACCCGGAAAGCTGTCTGTGGACAAACACCGGCTCCTTCGGCCTGAAAGCGAGATGAGTGCCACAACCCCATAGTTACCCTTGACTGGACTTAATCATCCAGGAGTCCTTTACCCTTTTTTTACCCTATCCAAGCTCAGGGTGTTTCCCTTGTCAGCAGTGTTTTCGTTTTAATTATTATTTGTTATAAAAATATGCCTTCTTCACACACTAATATAAAATGCCAAGGTGGTGTACAACCATATATACAAATTCAATAAAAAATAAGATCCATAAAGACAATACAAATAAATGATAAAAAAGACAAGCAGGCAAAGCAGTTGTTGTTTTTAAAATGCTGCGTTTTGGGACACCCAAGTCCACAGAGTGACCCAGGACTTTAGAGAGACTCAGATCTGACTCAAAGTCACCTTTTTAATGGTGTCTCGTGGGTGGGCCAGCTCCAATTAGGACCACTTTTGCTAGGATACAATAAGCTATGTTTAAACTGGTGTGCCAATGACATTAGACCTCACTGAGAGTACATCAAATCGGCAACATATTGCTAGAGGGGATGCAAAGAAAAATGGATACTAATACCTATGGAAGGCATTCATTTATACAAGAATGCTGGCATGGGAGTTTTGCACAGATCCCAGTCCAGCACTCACCTTTATGTCAATTGATTCTAGGTTACACTGCTGTCTCTTTCACAAAGAATCAGTGGTGTTTTTATAAGCATTGGTCTGCACAGAGGTGGCTGGGTTTTACAGCCCAAGTCTGGCTAGGTTTTATTGCAATACGTGTGTGCATTTTGTCTCAATATCAGCTAACTCTAGTACAGCAGTTATGCCCAGTTTTTCAAACTGTGTGATCAAAGAGCCCCCATTTTATAGGCAGTTTGGAAAGGTGCGCATCCTATAATCATATTACTTTCAGTCAGATACTCAGATGGAATTCTCCTGCTTGTAATTCCTATGTTTTACATTCTGTGGGCATGAAATTCAGACCTGCCAATTTGCAGATCAATAGGACTAAGGTTACTCATTTTATAGGTAATTAACAAAAGGTACACTGACACAGGGTAACTGCTATGTCAACTAAATGCTTTCCCAATCTTTCAGTTTTGTGGAGCTCCCTTCCCCTTCTTTCTGACCTTTTCAATTGCTTTGCATTGGAGGCACTGTCTGGAACACAGTGTACACAGAACACTTTAAAGCCAAGTGTTTTGTGAACTGTACACTCTGCTCCAGAGTGTGTCTCCAGTGCAGAAACAGAGACTGCAATGGACAGCAACTGAAACAAAGAAATGAATGGGATTTCACTTGTGTGTGTTTTCCATTCATTTTCACTTTTCCATTTGTTTTCATTGCAAAAAGAAAAATGGAATAAATGGAGCTCATTCGTTTCTTTTTAAATGCATATTTAAAATGACTGTGCATCCTAACTGTACTGCATTTGTGCCGAAATGACGGTTCTGTCTGTGGTGTTAGGTCTGTGACGGCCCATTCACACATGTAAGTGTTTGGAAAGCTTTAAAAGTGTCCTTTTAAACTGTTGAACCCTTTACACTCCACTCATTTTGTTTAACTATAGCTGTCCAACAGCATTTCTATATCATAGTGTGTCCACATCAAAACTGATGATATGTACACATCTGCAGTGAACTTTTTAGAATTTGTCTTCTAAACAATATGAGCTGTAGAATTTAAGAATCACCCATGGATTACAAGAACTGGGATAAGTCCTACTATTTTACCCTCCATATCTACACCCTAGTTAGAAATTGCTCATCATGCCTTCAGTTCTCAACAGGGAAAATGCAAGAACAGAGCAGAACATATTCAGAGTGCTCTGCACATGGATTAACATGTTGAGTCATGTGTGTGCAACTTAATGAAATATACATAAAGACAGGCTAGATCGGCCCAATATACCTGAACGAGTGTCTCCACCTGCATCACTCAGCCGAGGCACTGAGGTCCTCCTCTGGGGGGTCTTCTGGTGGTTTCCTCACTGTGAGAAGCGAAGTTACAGGGAACCAGGCAGAGGGCCTTCTCGGTAGTGGCACCTGCCCTGTGGAACGCCCTCCCACCAGATGTCAAGGAAATAAACAACTATCTGACTTCTAGAAGACATCTGAAGGCAGCCCTGTTTAGAGAAGTTTTGATGTTTTATTGTGTTTTTAATATTCTGTTGGGAGCCGCCCAGATGGGTTGAGTATAAATAATAAAATTATTTATTAGTAGTAGTAGTAGTAGTAGTATGTGTTATTTAAGAAGAGCCTGCTGAACCAGCCCAATAGTCCATCTACATATTTCAGCATCCTGTTCTCACTGTGGCCAAGCAGATGCCTGCGGGAAGCCTATATGTTAGAAAAGTGTGCAACAACATTCTGCCACCGGGGAGTCTCAGTAACTCATATATTCATTATGCAATAAATATGCAATTTCAAAGATGCTGCCCAAAAGGCCCCAAAAGATGTGTGGGTGCCCCTGGCAATGAGATTGTTAGCAGAAGGCTATGTGCAAGCTGTACACCTCCAGTGTGCTCATGACTTCAGAGCTGATAGAGCATTTCTCAGTATGCAAGAGTATATCACTAGCCTTCGTGGATTTTTTCCTGGGGGGGACGCAGGAGTAGGCATGCTCCTAAACATTTTGTGAATCTTTGTACTTTTGTCCATTTACTGTATTTATTTTTCCCAATTTGAACTATAAAATGGTGACTTTCTTGAGTCAAAATGAGAGCACCCCTAAACATTCTTTTTTAGGAAAAAAAACACTGACTAGTCCCATAAAACCAATATGATCTAGATGGTGGTCATAGCCTTCCTGAGTTAAGATTTCCCAACTATTGTGGGCTTGAGAGTCCTGGCATGAGCTGTATTAGAGAATGTGGATGACATGGCTGTTATAAAGATCCCAGTTGCACCAAGGCATAAGTTTAAACTTGCATTGTAAATGTTGTGTCAGTTAGATATCCTTATTACTTCTGCAGTGACTGATGTTTTGTAGCATGAACCTCTTGCTCTTTGCTATGCATTTTGACAGCCCAAATGGATCCCAAGTCACCACTTGCGTTTTCTTTTATCACGCTGTGTGCCACAGTGCTTGAAATGAGAACTGCTTGGCATGCCCATATAGAAGGCAATTATTTGATGAGAACTTTGGGATCATGTATGTCACTTGCAGGGCTCTCTGTCCTTGTCTCTGTGAACAACAGGGGGACTTGCCATTCAGGAACTTCCCTCGTTTTTGCAGTATCGTTTGCATTTCTTAGTGCAGAAAGTATTGATCTGATGGGTAGAGATCTTTCCTATTCTGATTAGTTCAAGAGGGTTCTGGAAGCTTGTCTGTGTGGTGGAAGGTTTCTGACGTTTGGGTTATTCCTTCTGGGAAGCTGAGTACAGCTGGTTTAAACTGGTTTTGTTATCCTTTCTGTCAAGGTCATGCTAAATATAATAGTCAGGCCAGGAGGAGCCTGGGTTTTGCTCACTTTCTCGTTCTATCTCTTTGTTCCAGCCATGGTGTTCTGTTCCATATATAGTGTTAAGGTTTAGTCTTATTATAAGTTCTTGTAAGTTAGTTTATGATATGTCTGCTGCAACTGGATTTCTTATGGACCGTGCCAATCCTGAATATATTGGATTTGTGACCATTATGCTCATTTGCCTTCAGTCGCACTAAAGCTCTGCTGGATGAAGAAGAAGAAGAGTTTGGATTTGATATCCCGCCTTTCACTCCCTTTAAGGAGTCTCAAAGCGGCTAACATTCTCCTTTCCCTTCCTCCCCCACAACAAACACTCTGTGAGGTGAGTGGGGCTGAGAGACTTCAAAGAAGTGTGACTAGCCCAAGATCACCCAGCAGCTGCATGTGGAGGAGCGGAGACGCGAACCCGGTTCCCCAGATTAACCACTACACCACACTGGCTCTCAAGTACAGATGAAGTACAGTTGCCTCTGGTCTGTTTTTCAGAACTTTGCAAAGTGTTTAAATCTTCCTTAGCCTTGCACGGTGCAGATTTCAACACAGTGCAAGCTGGGGGCAGCCAAACTGCCACTTAAAGCAGTGGCAAACCCAATGCTGTTTATCTAGAAAAAGAAGTGCCAGAACTCACCATGAACACATCCCTTGTTCTCATGGAATGGCAATGGCACCCACCTGAGAGGTGTCGGAACTAAGTTCTGGCTGAAAAAAGAGAGACTTGGGCAAACCCTTGACCGCTTCATCTTTAACATAAGATACATCCCACTCAGCAGAACTCTGTTTCTGCTGCTGCTGAGGTTAGATAGTTCAATGGGACTTGATACAATTTTAGCTAGGAACACTGGCATTCTTGTCTTATTTTTATATCATTAGGGCTGCCCTGTACTTCTGTTAGAGAAAGTGCATGGTATGAAAATGATGCATACATAATAGCTCCAAGAGTTTACCCTCCCACTAAGATGAAATCCATCTTGGAGAACACAGGAACACAAGATGCTGCCTTCTACTGAATCAGAGCATTAACCTATCTGGCTCCGTATTGTCTACAGTGACTAGAAGCCGCTCTCCAGGACATCAGAGGACAAACTCGCAGCTCTACCAGGAGATGTTGGGAATTAAAACTGAGACCTTCTACATGCAAAGCAGATGCTCTACCATTGAGCTACACCTCTTCCCCAATGGGAATTTTTTTGGGGGGTTAGGGGTGGGGGTGGGAGGATATTTCCCTACCACCACAAAAGTAACAACAAAAAAGTTTACTTGCCTTTTTATCTTTGAAATCCTATTTCAAAGCAGGTTTCTTTTTTCATTTTTGGTAAGATTTATCTGTTCTCCTTACACAAGCAGCATGGTTACAGTGCAATAATGAATCAGTTGTTTCATTGGTATTCCTTAAAGGACATCATAAACTGAGATTTGTGTTTAAATTAATATGAAAGATGGGTAAGACAGACGGAAAATCAGTGACCATAAATAAAATTCTTTGGAGGTTGTGCTGTGTACATGTACATGCAGAGACTGTCTTGTTCCCTTTTATGCTGCAAATGCACATTATTTCCAAAATGATTATCTTCTTTACTTTTTGATAAAAAAAACCTATACCTTAATTTTCCTGATGTGAAGATACATTAGACTATGCTACAGTTGTCTTTTTATGTTAACGCTGTCAACTAAAATCCCTCCAACAAACAGAAACAGAGAAATGCTCATCAAGGTGTTTATTTGTGATGTTGATGTGCTTTATAGGCACTGCTCTGGCTGCCAGCCAAACACAGATTGCTACATACCAATGCTTTCAGAAAACTGGCACATCTTTCTAAGCTAGAATGTTATTTAATTGTCAGTGCAATGTAGATAAAAGAAGTGCGCTGCAAATGAATTCAGAATATTGGCTTGGCAATCTAACCAATAGGACATGCACAAGTGGGACACAACCACAGTGAGAAATACTTTGCAATTCCCAAAGCTTTAGCCCTTCAATACATCCTTGTCTTTTTTGACATCATGTTAGAATTGTTACAGTCTTCCTCCCAGCTGCTTAACTATGTCTCTCTAGTCTTTAAATTTTTAATGGTTTTTATTTTTTTTGGGGGGGGGATAAAACCTGTGATCAAGCTTTGCGTTTTAAATAGCAAGCATTTTTTTCTTTCTTTTGGGTTTTGTGGCAATGTACTACCTGCAAAATCTAGGTAGTTCTTCTTAGAGAGGATCGCATGACCCCCTCCACTTTGAAAACAACAACAACTGTGAAGGAGGTCATGTGAGTTAGTCACATCCCTTCCACCAGTCCCCTCATTGGCCAAGACCACCACTGCTCTATGGCCCAATAAGGGTCCCTTTCACATGGAGAAGGCCTATGTGCAGCACTGTATCAGGATATTTTTTATGTTTGATGTTTTATTATGTTTTTATATGTGTTGGAAGTTGCCCAGAGTGGCTGGCGCAACCTAGCTAGATAGGTGGGGTATTGTTGTTGTTGTTGTTTAGTCATTTAGTCGTATCCGACTCTTCATGACCCCATGGACCAGAGCACACCAGGCACTCCTGTCTTCCACTGCCTCCCACAATTTGGTCAGACTCATGTTTGTAGCTTCAAGAACACTGTCCAACCATCTCGTCCTCTGTCGTCCCCTTCTCCTTGTGCCCTCAATCTTTCCCAACATCAGGGTCTTTTCCAGGGAGTCTTCTCTTCTCATGAGGTGGCCAAAGTATTGGAGCCTCAGCTTCAGGATCTGTCCTTCCAGTGAGCACTCAGGGCTGATTTCCTTCAGAATGGACAGGTTTGATCTTCTTGCAGTCCATGGGACTCTCAAGAGTCTCCTCCAGCAACATAATTCAAAAGCATCAATTCTTCGGTGATCAGCCTTCTTTATGGTCCAGCTCTCACTTCCATACATCACTACTGGGAAAACCATGGCTTTAACTATACGGACCTTTGTTGGCAAGGTGATGTCTCTGCTTATTATTATTATTATTAGCCAAATATGCAGGTGGGTACTTGCACTATGGGCATTGGCGGCAGAAGGCATGCCAATGTCCTGCATCAGCAGTGGGGCTGGAGTTTGGGATAAGGCCAAGACTGGGGAAACAGCTGTTGTTGTGAAACCAAAAATTTGGGGGTTCTGAGCATCTTTCAAAACAAGAAGGACTTCAGCCAGCTTCGGCAGGAGCACTCGGCCCTGCTTTGTGGGAGACAGAGCATTCATGAGCTCAGCCTTTCAACCAGAACAAAGCACAACCATTCACACTGCTGGAGAAAACAAACAGGAAATCAAGCTCTCTCTCTCTCTCTCTCTCTCTCTCTCTCTCTCTCTCTTAGCCTTGCAGCAGTTTTCTCTCTTATTGAACCCTCTTGGGGGAACCGAGAGACCATTTTCCTGCTAGCAGGCATTTAGCCTTTTGTTCAGCAAACTTTTTGTTGGAGGGGAAAAGAAGTTAATTTCTAAGTGGGGCGGGGAGGTAAAAAGTCCAAAAATATTTCTCTCCAGCTGTCTGCAAAATTAAGTTCCTTGATTTGACTAGTGGCTTCAGAATGCCGATTTAGAGAGATAAGTGCCCCCATGCAAGCTCGGTATTAGAAGTACAAAGTATCTCCCTGGGCTGAATTTATGAATAGTTTGCTCAGGCACGAAGGATAATCAATATGCCTTCTCCTGCACTTCTCTCAAAGCAAAACTGGCTAGTTTAGCAGAACTCATACTGTGCATCCTAAAGGGCTAGGCTATTCATGCTTTGTTCCCCAACTGACTTTATTCAAGCTACTACATTTTAGGAGAAATTCTCATACACAGACACTACTTCCTCTGGTCACTGTCATTAAAACCAATGAGATTATTTGAGCAGGGTGCATGGACACTACCACTCTCAGAAAAGACACATGAGATTTGCCAACATAACATATAAGTACAGTGGTACCTCGGGTTAAGGACTTAATTCATTCTGGAGGTCCGTTCTTAACCTGAAACTGTTCTTAACCTGAAGTGCCACTTTAGCTAATGGGGCCTCCCGCTGCCGCTTGCCGCCACCGTGCGATTTCTGTTCTCATCCTGAAGTAAAGTTCTTAACCCAAGGTACTATTTCTGGGTTAGCGGAGTCTTTAACCTGAAGCGTCTGTAACCTGATGTACTACTGTATAAGAAGAGCCCTGCTGGACCAAGCCAATGGCCCATTAGTCCACCATCCTGTTCTCACAGTGGTCACATAAATGCCTGTGAGAAACTCACAATCAGGACCCAAGCACAAGAATGCTCTCCGCTCCTGTGGTTTCCAGCACCTGGTTGCTATACAGTTGCTGTGCAGTTATTTGCTCTGCCATACAATTGTTCTGTGCTGGAACTTTGAATGTGGATTAAATGTTTGGTCAGAACACTTGTATACTGGATGTTCAGAGATCATTTATTTGCTTGAATTCCATTCTCTATTTCCCCAGAAATAGGTTTCAGGTGGCATTCTCCAAAGGAGATTTTATATTAGGAAATCATTTTGCAATAAAAATAAACATAAAGTGCATATTAGGATAAATGTGTTCTAAAAGACTGATAAATTTTCCTGACAAGTTATATCTACAGCACATCTATATCTGTGCCACAAGCTGATGTTGATTTTGCTCTTTCTCTTTATGACACTGAATGAGGAAAATGTCATTTCCTTTCAGAACCTTTGCCCCATGAAGAGTCTTCCTCTCATTCCTGAACACTGCATTTACATGCTCTTTGCATTTACACTTCCAATCTTTTAATTAATTTTTTGTAATAGGAATTCCAGTAATCATAATAATCTGCAATACAGTTTGGCTCACAAGGATTTTATTGAGTAAAAAAGAGAGAAGTGTAAGCGCCATGAATTCTGAACTATTTCATAATTCAGTTTCAGACCCTTTGTCCTTCCTGTAGCTCAGACAGAGGCAAAGCAACCTCCTCCAGTACCCGGAGCGGCGCTCGTCCCAGGGGGTGTGGTTCACATCCCAGGGGGCGTGTGTGCCGCCCGGGGGGGGTGCGCAGCAAGCGCCGTGCACCCCGGGGGGTGCTGCCAATCGGGGTCGGCATTTTGTCACACACCCCTTGTAATGGTACCTGGAGCAAACCGCCCATCCCTTGCCCCCTTCGGAACGCCCCTGATCTCAGAAGCTAAAATAATGCTCCTTGATTATTATGTTAGTGCGCAATGCAGTTTTTTGTTTGTTTGTGTGTTCTGCCAACGTTGCAGATGCTTTCTGTGGTCCATAGTAAAATACTGATACAGGATATATGCCATTCCCATTGTCATGAGCATAATTCAAATACTTGATGTTTACAAGCAAATATTCAAGACATCAGGCTGATTTGATGTGTCACAAGTAGCAAATTTTGCATGTGCACACCCTCTCAGAACTGCATGTGGCATGTGTGCACTAGTTTTTGGTCAAGAACAAAAAGGAGCAAGGAAACAAAAGCCATTCAACATTAGCAAAAGCATGGCTATGCTGTGGAAAGGCCTGCTTCTTGGTGATGAGCAGCACAGGGCTTTTGACTGAGGTCACTTTCTGTCACTTTTAATTATTAAATGTTCATTAGTTAGCACACAGCGACCGCAGGACAGCGTCTGTCCTGTGTTTTTCACTGGTGCCATAGTAACGACACATATTCTGGGAAAAGTGCTTTGAGAGAAAACTTCTGTGGATCTGACTTCCTGCCTCCTGAAATCCTGCCTTTGTGTGACTAGAATGATCTTAGCCCTGGGCTTACAATGCACAGGCCTCTTTCAGTCTTTTTTGTTCATACTTCTGAAATTCAGGAATCAAGTTCCTCCTCTCCACCTCCCCTTTTCTTATTCTCCTGTGACAGCAGATAATTATTTGAAAAGATTCTTCAGCATCTTTGCAAGAGCCTGGGCAGTTTTCTTTCTACAGAGCTTGTGAGGGGGCAAGAGGGATATAAGTCTATATGATCAGAGTGACGGAATGTATTGCTTTAGGCTCTTTTTGGTATTCTGTAATCATATCCTGCAAAGTATGTATTAAACATGAGCAACAGAGGACTGGAGGGTGGGGAAATGACCTGAACTGTAGTTGGGGACATTCAAAGAAGGCAATCAGTCTAAAATCTAAAAGAAAACAAATGCTGCAGCATGTTTTATAACTGGCAAGAGACTTTGAGGTCAGCCACAGCCATTAACTGTGGTAGGGGATGCAACA